AAAAAATCTCTTAAAAATCGCAATTTTTCCCCGTTTTTCGCCGTTTCTTCGCCGTTTTTTGGAGTTTTTTCCCCATTTTTTTTTTGTTTTTTCCCAAATTTGGCGTTTTTCACCCCAATTTCAGGCTCCGAGCAGCCCTGGGAGGACCCGCTGGCCCCAAAAACCCCCCAAAAACCCCCCAAAAAAACCTCCTAAAAATCGCAATTTTTCGCCGTTTTTTCCCCGTTTTTCGCCGTTTCTTTGCCGTTTTTTGGAGTTTTTTCCCCATTTTTTTTTTGTTTTTTCCCAAATTTGGCGTTTTTCGCCCCAATTTCAGGCTACGAGCAGCCCTGGGAGGAGCTGCTGGCCCCAAAAACCCCCCCAAAAAACCTCCTAAAAATCGCAATTTTTCCCCGATTTTTTCCCCGTTTTTTTGCCATTTTTTGAGTTTTTTTCCCCAAATTTTTTTTTAATTTTCCGAATTTTTGATAAATTTCCCCAAAATTCCCCAAAATCCCAAAAAGTCCCCCTAAAATCCTAACAAAATTCCCCAAATTTGGCGTTTTTTTCCCCGATTTTCCGCGCTTTTTTCCCCCGTTTTTTGCCGTTTCTTCGCCGTTTCTTGGAGTTTTTTCCCCATTTTTTTTTTGTTTTTTCCCAAATTTGGCATTTTTCACCCCAATTTCAGGCTCCGAGCACCCCTGGCAGGACCCGCTGGCCCCAAAAACCCCCCAAAACCCCCCAAAAAAATCTCTTAAAAATCGCAATTTTTCACCGTTTTTCCCCCGTTTTTCGCCGTTTCTTCGCCATTTTTCGGAGTTTTTTCCCCATTTTTTTTTTGTTTTTTCCCAAATTTGGCATTTTTCACCCCAATTTCAGGCTCCGAGCACCCCTGGGAGGAGCCGCTGGCCCCAAAAACCCCCAAAAAATCTCTTAAAAATTGCAATTTTTCCCTGTTTTTTCCCCGTTTCTTTGCCGTTTTTTGGAGTTTTTTTCCCCTTTTTTTTTTTGTTTTTTCTTTTTCGTTTTCGCCCCATTTTTAACCCCTTCCTGCCCTGCCTGCAGGCCGTGATCTGCCCCTCGTCGTCCCGCTTGGATTTTCCCCATTTTTGGACATTTTTCACCCATTTTTTTGTCCATTTCCCCCCCACTCTTTTCCCAATTTCCCCCCATTTTAAATTTATTTTTTCCCCCATTTTTTGTCCATTTTTTCCCCAACTTTTTGCCCATTTTCTGCCAATTTTTTCCCCATTTTTTGCTCATTTCTCCCCCATTTTCTCACCATTTTTCCCCCATTTTTTCTACAATCTTCTCCCATTTTTCCCCAATTTTCCCCCATTTTCCCCCAATTTTCCCCCAATTTTCTCCCATTTTTCCCCCAATTTTCCCCCATTTTTTCCCCAATTTTCTCCCATTTTTTCCCCAATTTTCTCCCATTTTTTCCCCAATTTTCTCCCATTTTTTCTCCATTTTTCCCCCATTTTTTCTCCAATTTTTCTCCCATTTTTTCCCTCAATTTTCTCCCATTTTTCCCCCAATTTTTTCCCATTTTCCCCCATTTTTTCCCCATTTTTTCCCCAATTTTCCCCCATTTTTCCCCAATTTTCCCCCATTTTTCCCCAATTTTCCCCCATTTTTCTCCAATTTTCTCCCATTTTCCCCCAATTTTCTCCCATTTTTTCCCCAATTTTCTCCCATTTTCCCCCCAATTTTTCCCCAATTTCCCCCATTTTTTTGTCAATTTTTTCTCAATTTTTTTTGCCATTTCTCCCCCATATTTTCTCCAATTTTCCCCCATTTTTTCTCCAATTTTCTCCCATTTTTTCCCCAATTTTCTCCCATTTCCCCCCCAATTTTTTCCCCAATTTCCCCCATTTTTTTGTCAATTTTTTCTCAATTTTTTTTGCCATTTCTCCCCCATTTTTTCTCTAATTTTCCCCCATTTTTTCTCCAATTTTCTCCCATTTTTTCCCTCAATTTTCTCCCATTTTTCCCCCAATTTTTTCCCATTTTCCCCCCAATTTTTTCCCCAATTTCCCCCATTTTTTTGTCAATTTTTTGTCAATTTTTTCGCCATTTCTCCCCCATTTTTTCTCCAATTTTCTCCCATTTTTTCTCCAATTTTCTCCCATTTTTTCCCCAATTTTCCTTTAATTTTCTCCCATTTTCCCCCATTTTTTCCCTCAATTTTCTCCCATTTTTCCCCCAATTTTTTCCCATTTTTTCCCCAATTTCCCCCATTTTTTTGTTAATTTTTTCTCCATTTTTTTGCCATTTCTCCCCCATTTTTTCCCCAATTTTATCCTATTTTTTCCCCAATTTTCTCCCATTTTTCCCCCATTTTTTCCCCATTTTTCCCCCATTTTTTTGCCCGTTTTCCCCCGTTTTCGCCCCATTTTTAACCCCTTCCTGACCTGCCGGTAGGCCGCGATCTGCCCCTCGTAGTCCCGGTTGTATTTCCGCAGTTTTTGCCTCAAAGAGCTCAGAGCTTTGGCGTTGTTTTTGTTCATTTTCTTCTTCCCCTCCTTGTCCTCCCACAGCTGCCAAAAAAATGGGGGGAAAATGTCCAAAAACGGTGAAAAAACAAAAAAAAATGGTGAAAAAACACGAAAAAAAAAAAAAAAAACA